GTCAACTGGATTCTAATACATATATTGTCCACATTTATAGACTGCAGTCATAGGTATATGCTATTCTACGGATAGTTATATCGCTGGGATTATTAACATTTTTATAATTGTGGATTTTTGGTACCAAACCCAACCGAACACGTACAAGCAGCCGTATAAAGTAACGTCCTTACATTTTTATTGTGTTTAACTGATATTGTTTGGTCCACCACAATTTATTGGTGAGCCCTAGTTATTCTATCCATATTTTTTTTCTTAAAAACTTTTTTAGCCTGACATAATTCATTTTTGCCTAACACTGTTTCCTTGGAACTCAACCAATACCATGAATTTACCCCCAGCAAAGCATTTAATCACACCCCAGTCGGACGACAATTCTTTACGTTCAATTAATGCCGTTTCTGACTTCAAATTCCCAGCATACGGCTCTAGCAACCCTAGGGTGTGGTTCGCACAGATCGAAGCCTTATTTATGGCAAGAAATATACGCTCGCAAGCAACTAAATACGCATATGTGGTTAGCGTGCTACCAATAGACATAGCAGCTGAAGTTGGGGACTTAATCGATGAGGTGCCGGAACACGAGCCTTATGATAAGATTAAGGCCGCTTTAATCAAGCGAACTTCAGTCTCTGACGAAAAAAGGCTTCAGCAGTTGTTAACCTCATGCGAGCTCAGAGACAAGAAACCATCACAATTATTAAGGCATATGAAAGATTTAGCAGGCCCATTTAAATTAGATGAAGCCCTGCTGAAACAAATTTGGTCACAACACCTGCCACAAAATGTACGACAAATTCTCAGCACGACCATTGACTGCGTCAGCTTAACAGATTTAGCTGACATGGCAGAGAGAATAATGGAAATTTACCCAGATAGTAATTTAGTAAGCTCTGTACAAACTACCGGCATTGCGGACATGTGTGGCATTTTCAATTTTCAACAACAACTACTACAAATGACTAAGGAAATGCAAATGTTGCGGGTCACCATTGCAACGATTCGCGCCAGACCAACTACACCTTTCTCTAGGAGAAGGTCATGCTCCAGACGCCGCTTCATGTCTCCGAAAAGGGCAACCGGTATTTGTTGGTATCACCAGAAGTACGGTGAGAAAGCTCGCCGCTGCACAAAACCATGCACTTTCCTCGCAAACAGACAGGAGACACAGGGAAACTGGCCAGCCAGACAGTGATGGCGGCGACTGCTTCTGGCCACGCTGCAAGCCGTCTCTTCCACATCAGGGATAGGATTTCAGGCTCAGACTTCTTAGTCGATACAGGAGCTGAAATAAGCATCATGCCACTTCAACTCTCAAGACGGCAACACACCACTAATAGTAAGGTAACACTACAGGCGGCCAACGAAACGTTCATCAAAACTTTTGGAGAACAGTCTCTCATACTTGACCTTGGTCTTAGACGGCGTTTCACGTGGGTTTTCGTAGCAGCCCAAGTCAAACAGCCGATACTCGGAGATTTCATCAGCGCTTACAATCTGCTAGTAGACATGCATGGTAAGCGACTAGTCGACAAACAAACACGTCTAGACGTAATCGACATAACAAATAACAACTACGAAATTCATGGGGTACGGATGATCAAGCCCATAAGCCAACCTTTCGCAGATGTCTTAGCGAAATACGACATCACCAAGGTTGACTATCGTAAAGAATGCACCGTACACCATGTGCAGCACCACATTACCACTACAGGTCCACCCGTCTGCGCCAAGCCCAGGACTACCGCCTCATAAACCGCAAATTGCCAAGAGAGAATTTGAACATATGATGCAACTGGGTATCATCCGACAGTCAAGCAGCCCATGGGCTTCTCCACTACACACGGTCCCAAAGAAAGGTCGGGACTGGCGCCCATGTGGCGATTATCGACATTTGAATAACCGAACCGTTCCAGATAGATACCCAATTCCTCACCTTCATGACTTTTCACTGAACTTACATGGCAGACACATTTTTTCGAAACTTGACTTAGTAAGGACATATCATCAGATTCCAGTGGCACCAGAGGATGTCAAAAAAACGGCCATTATCACTCCTTTTGGTTTATTCGAGTTCCTAAGAATGTCATTCGGATTAAAAAACGCTGCAAAAACATTTCAACGTTTTATGGATGCAGTAACTAGAGGTCTAGATTTCGTTTTTGCCTACATCGATGATGTTTTAATAGCTAGTGCATTGATTGAAGAACACGTCCAGCATTTACAGACTCTCTTCGATCGTTTCCAAAAGTACGGCGTCGTCATTAACCCTTCCAAGTGCATATTCGGTGCTCCTGCCTTGGAGTTTCTAGGACATTACATAGACTCACAAGGCATAAAACCACTACAGGAGAAAGTTGACGCAATCATCAACTATCCTGAACCTAACTCATTAAAGTCATTACGCCGATTTCTTGGAATGTGTAATTTCTATCGACGATTCCTACCCAACTGCACAGAAGCCTTACAACCCTTAACTGATCTGTTAAAAGCCGATAAAAAAGAGACGAAGAAAGCTAAAAATGATATTTTCAACTTACCGCCTGCTGCTAAAACTGCATTTGAGAAGGCGAAGTCTCTGATATCCAATGCTACTATGTTACAGCATCTAAATACTGACCCCACGACCAACCTAATTCTATGCACAGATCATCTAAGAAGGCTGTCGGGGCAGTGCTACAACAGCGAGTAAACGACGTCATTACGCCCATAGCGTTCTTTTCCAAACGACTGTCACAGACACAAGAACGTTATAGCACCTTTGGACGTGAGTTACTTGCTATCTACCTCGCTGTTAAACACTTCAGCTTTTTACTACAAGGACGACCATTTACAGTCATGACCGATCATAAACCCTTAAGTTACTCGTTCATAGGACACGTTAAACGAGTAACTTAAGGATTTTGTTATGGACTATCATTAGTGTAAACAGAGGATAGTACATCGAAATTCTCTTTCTTATGCTTCTTTGAGTATCCAACAGACTATATAAATACTTCAAAACTGTTAAAACTATCCAGTGCGATGGCCAGTAAGTAACTTAATATATTTATTCCTAACTTTAAAAGCTAATTTACGTCTGAAAATAAACCTCATTTATATAAGTGTAACTTGAGGGGAAAAACCAGAATCCAAAGACATGAGATGGGAATAGTGGTCTCAGCTCAACTACTGGACGAGAAACATTTCATGGCTAAGACAGTTATATTTGGTTTGCTATAACTTACGTATATGTAGGAATGGTTTTCCGATTTTTTTTTGCGTTTCCTGAAAGCGTATTATGGTATGTAGGCCTTGTAAACTAGGACACTAGGGTTTCAAAAAACCACTTAAGTAGTTATAGCGTCGAATCATTGTTGGTAGCTGCAGAAATGAATGAAATTGAAGTGGTAGCGGCAAAAAAAGAACAAAGTAGAGTATTGGCAACAATCACAGAAACTCCTCATTACTTAAGTATATTACGTGTAATCAGATTGTCAGATCATCAACACAAGATTTAGCGTATGTATAGATGGTATGGCTGCATGAACTTATGTACATACGTACGTAGTTGCAACTGACTGACTGACTGTATGTATAGATTTGATTAGTCATATATCCCATCAGTACACGGAATAAACTAATAAACCGGGAAGTAAGAAGTAGAAAATCCTATAGATAACAATTCAGGCTTAGACATCATTCAAAAGGATGACATTTAAATCAAGACTCAGAGGATGAAAAAGGTGTCTGAATGAATATTGTAATCGAATGAATAAATTACCGATTCACTGGACTCGAGCTGGCGCTGATATATATTCCAAACATTAGCTGCAATTGCGGCTTTGGATCGTTCACTATCGCCAGCAAGGCTCGTGTAAGCAAGAAGAACACCTTCAGGATTAAAAAGCATAACTGATTGTATCCCGCCAGTATTCATCTTTCGTAAAGCAGAAGTAAGAGCACGTGGGCGGAGCATCTGAAAGAAGATAATGAATACCTTGGTTATGTATTTGAAATGTCACTTAGGATATTCAGATACTAAAAACGCGAGGAGTGAATAGGTTGAATTGACTGAAAACCAGCCTGAGGTACTTGCTACGGAATGACTTTGTATACCAGATAATATTAACGAGGACATTGAAAAAATGAGTGGTTAAGCTTTACAACTAAATATCATTAGCTGTTAGCACGAAAACTTCTGAAATATCGGACTAAAACTCTGTGAAGAGATATTCCCTAGTACACCAAGTGGTTATGAGTAGATATATAACCGGAGAGATCAGTTTACAGTTTGAGTAGTATTTTTTGAGATACATATCTTAAGAAATACCACTCAAATTCTTTACACTACGTAATGCCTATCCAATCCAGATTATAAAAGGCGTATATAAAGACGGGAGAGTGATTGTCAGGTGTTTGAAGTCTGCTTCAAGTAGAAGACAAAGAGGTTTGTAAGTAACATTATTTACTTCAAAACACCAGAAATATTGTAGGGTTTGCCGTGACGACACGTTTTGCGGTTTCCACAATGCAATTTAAAGGCTTTATCGAAATTAATCACCCCATTCAGGGAAATCCCTAGATATGAAGAAACTTGAAGGTACTTGGTTGAGTCCTCCCAAGTTAACTATGGGAGCTGCCTGAGATCGACATTGCAAACTCCAAGAAAGCCAAAAGAGGAAGAGCCTTAATACCAAATCCATTTAAACTATTCGTTTCTCGTTTAAAAATCTGTCTGCTGAGATAAAAAAAGTACACATTTTATGATTGGCTTGCGTAGTCGTCACAGTAGTGGGATACTATTACAGCTTATTTAACGGATTACTTACGATTTTTAAAGTTCAATCTTAAGTAATCACACGGAAATGAATCTAACGTATTTATATAGTAGCAATATAAGTCGATTGCTTCAGGGACTTTGTTTACGTACATGTTTGCGCACAAGTTACGTATAATTTCGAAATGCGCACTTCTGTAATACTTCGTAACTATTGGTTGATTCTCTGTGTTCAAACGACAAGTTTTTTAAATAGTATAAGCGGCAGTTGAAGCCTGAGGTTACTGCCGGCCTAAGGCACGGGTAAAGGAGAGTTTTGTGTAAAGTTATAAATCTTAAAAAAAGGTGTTTCACTACCTCCATCCACAGAGGCACGAAAAGAGCATACATTCATCATCTACAATCATTATTTAGAAAATGCAATTATTTAAAAACAATTGTCTACGAAACACGCTACACGTGCTTTGACCAGACATGATAACCAATAAATTATTGTTGCATTGAAAAACCAGCTTACGGTTGAAGAGAAAAAACCTAGCGGGGTGTTGAAATCACATTCCATAAACCTTTGAATTACACCGGAAATCAGGCTCTCACAACAAGAGTACAATATCTGTGACCACTGCTCTGCGATCAGTTAAAAAGATACTTTCAAGTCTATGGTATACCTTAGAAGGAGTTCGAGGTTGCAAGTCCTTATGAAATGTGGGAAGAATCAATATACTGACTGCTTAAATTCGATCACTTCAAATACGATGAGCAGTATGATACTAAGAGCAACTTACTACCTTCTTGATCTCGTATGAAAGTGTAGAAGCTTCTTCAGACCGAACAGCGTCTTGTAAGAAGACGTGATGCAACGGGAATGTATTACAACGTCACGGCAGATAACCAACTAAAGACTACTGCTTCCAGTACAACTAGTATTTGAAAACCTGGTGCAGACACGTCGTTAATTATGAGTGACACGACACCTGGTAGATTGGAATCATAACTCTGATCTTCGAGTAACAGCTCAGTCTGTTGGAGGGCTTAGAGTGAGTTGAGAACGTCCTGCTAAGGTTAGGATGTTTCGGCTGTTATTTGTTCAGCTCATTATAATGTGTGAATATGTTCCTAACTATCCCACAATGAATGTTAAAAAGTTTGTTTTAAATCGATATCTCGCGTTCCGCTTGTTAAACGCATCAGGCAATAATTTTTTCCAAAACCAACTTGAATTTTTCGATATCCGTATTCAGCGACGGGTAAAAATAAGTTCATCAAGTTAGTCAAGTCCGAAGGTGAACTGATATCAGTAAAACCCTGATACTTGCTATGAAAACAGAAATACACGCCGGGCACACCATTTTAGCGGCTCGCTGCTGGACTTCAGTTTGGACAACTGATCGAGTGTGAAATGAAACAAATCTTCCCTTCTATTTCCGTGTATTATTCATAGGCAAACCCCGTTTGTGCGACGGCAGTAGTAAGAAGCCAAATAAGGTGTTGCGGATGAATTCATATCATGCATTTACTTATGCAGATAAACATGAGAAGGGAAGCGCAGAAGCATAACGTAGCGAATTGGAGAAGGCGAGTGAGCCAACTCTCCATGGGCTGAAGAATGGCTAAGTATTTATAGTCAAGCAATAATAGGCTAGACATGTAATGAGCGATAGAGCATCCACACACAACCAAATATACAATAATCGATACTGTAATCGAATTATTACAAAACAAAATTATGGTCGATACAATTATCGAATAATTTGAACGAAAGTACAATGAATGAATGATGAGATGCTACAAAAGCTCCCTTCCAGCAAACAAGGTTAAGTATCTTTGTTTGCGAAAAAGCGTCCGTAAAAATCAAAATTTACGAAATTAATAATCAAGATAAAACTGTCTTGTATGTTCTTACAAGTAAGTGTAAGTTTGAGTCCATGTGAGAGAAATTATTCATATATAAGTTTGTGTATGCCGGACAAATGAAGCTAAGTACGATGAACATAAGTTTTTCCCTGAGAGACTAACTCCAAACTCTATGTTCTTTTTTTCGTAGTATCGTAAAAATTGCAAGAATCGTGGAATGTTCGAGAGCAATGAATTTGACATTCAGTTACATAGGTGTTGAATAAATAAGATGAATTTTAATGGATGTATAGACATTGAAGCAAAGCTCATCGATCAAGCGAGTAGTGGCTGTAGAAATATAATGGAAGTTCGGTAGAGAGTATTGTTTACAAAATGTTGAGAACAATGATTGCTGCGTATAAATGCGAAAAATGAACATTCGTATCGTATTGATAACGTAAGTTACTACCGAACTTATGTCAGTGATAACGTTGCAAGCCGTTGCCAGCGTTGGGGTAGTCGAAAACTTGCTATTATCAGCGTGCAGGAGGTTTGCTCAACTGCTTAGTCTGATAGTTCGTGTGCATGCGCGTGTCACCATACCACCAATTCACTTAGCAGGTTGCAAGATGTTCGAGGTACGAGCAGCTATTTAGTTCGTTGGAATTATCTGTCGCACTATAATAATAGTGCCTTTGTTGTGATGAGTGATTCAGAATACAATGATGTAATATGAACTGGATTCTTTACGTACAACGGATACGCGACTGTGCCGTCTGCATGGAGTCTGATACGTTGGTTCATTCGTCTAATAGCTTGATTACGAGAGCTTCCACGTCGACGTAGCTCTTTACGTTGAGTTACGTTCGACGTCGGGAATTAGCGGAAATCGAAGGGTATCTTTAGACTATGACATCAGAAGATATCGCGTCTGATAGATTGCAGGTTCGGATCACGTCAGGCTCATCAATTTATTGTGGCGTTCGACTTTCGTTTTCTTCGAAATTCCGTATATCTCTGTCTTGATGATTGCTACTAGAGAACACGAGTCGTTGCCACAATTTCTGTATTATTCGAAAAATTTAATGATCGATACAAATATCGGATTTAATCCAATTATGTACAGTCGATATTGCCATCGAATTATTTAAACTGTTGATCAATAAAGCTAGGCAAATAATTAGATTTAGGTGGTAAGTAATGTTGGAGATTTTCAGTGGTTCTGAATTAGAAAGAACAGTGGAGGAAGTTAGTGACGCGTCGTTCCCAGTTGCAAGACAACAAAACAGAGATTTATTTGGGTAAGAAACGGTTCTATTATTAATAAAAAATACAGATAATTACCTAAGCAATATTACACTGTTTTCAGTCCAAAATAACACAATGTGTTTCTAATTCTGGGATTATGCTTCCGTTACAATCCGAATTGCACCCTTTCAGTCCAGATGCACGTTTTACCCGCCAAGGTATCCAATCCGATATGGCTGACGCCATAATTAAGTATCAATTAAAACAGCATAATACAGTTCAGTAGAAAACATAGAAACTCCAATAAAGGTACAAAAAAATAGAAACTATAACATAATACAAATATTAACACCATAAAATGGGATTAAACAGAGAATCAAAATGTAGCACAGAAAGAGTCAGTAAGAACATATTTTATAAATATATACATGGAGGAATTTTCTCAAAACAAAGCCTTCAAACTGGATTCTACAAGTAATGTCCAAGTGTACATGCGCATACAAGCTTAACAAGGATAAAAGTACAAAATATATGTGAGGTGCTACAACCTGAAAACACTGACCGAAGGACCATTTCAGTAATGCACCTTAGTTTGAGCACATCAGAATTCGGCAGTGCAGGATGGATTTCTTTAGCATTGTGAAAAAACTGTACAGTGTGATGCAGATAAAACCTACTGAGTCGAGAAATTAAATACAATAAACTATTCTAAAAATTGCTTTCTCCATTAGGTACGCTTACTTTCATAGCAACATACTTATAAGATCAACTATAAATAGTTATCGGCCATACATTATAATATTCCTTAGTTACTGAGCAGTATGTAAAGAAGGCCCTGTCAACCCAGAAATAATGATGAATACACCATGAAGGCTATAGTAACTTTATTCGCGGTTAGCTCCATGCAACATTTAAAACCAAGCTTCAAATTTCCGATAAACAGTTATCTCTTTTAATATGCAGTATCTGTGCTTGAAGATAACAAAGAAGAATCGCTTCAGACATAGTCGACAGCCATCTGGATTCGGGACTGCGCTCTCGGGTTTACAGTAGATTAAGATATAGACGACCATGACTGGTGGATGTCGAAGTAATGAAAGTCTTGTTGAGACCGACGTTCTCACGTTACGCTCAATTCCATGTCTGCTTACCGACTGTGGATGTTTTTATGCCTAACTTTTGTAGCCGACTTGCCTCAATAAATCATTCTCAAGAGAATAATATAAGGTGAAACTGGTCTGGAATGTACTGAATTACGTGTCAAGATTCTGAGTGGATATTTAGCCAAGCGGTTACTATTTTTTGTATGGTTCTTGAACCTTCTAGTACCCAGGAGGAATGAGTAACTTTATGAATACCCTCATTTTTCTGTATATAAACTAGTTTTGGTATAAAGCATTCGCCTCTTGTGCTTAGATTTCAGCGCGCATTTAGTCTCGGGTGATTATAACCAAATAGAAGTCAGATCTTGCGCTCATCGACCTGAATCATCACTTTGATAAGGCTTGAATCATTATTCATAGCCAGACATAAATGTATCAGTCCCAATTGATGTGTTCGGCTAACTGACCTTGGCTGTTATAAGTTTGTCTATTTTGTTCGTCCATTGAACTTGTGCTCGTTCTCCTATTGCTGATTAATAATTTACAGCCTGGTATTTTCAGACTAATCACTTCATCCAACTGGTTCTATAAAGGAACTAAGAATTGGACGGAGTATATATGTATTTCGAAGCTGTGGTGGACCAAAGATTTGTCAGTATTTGAACGGTGGTACGGTTAGCTCAAAATGAACATAGGACGATGAATGTCGTTTAAGCACATACAAATTTACATATGAAAAATAGTATTAGATGTTACTTGGATTGTTTTCAGGACGAGTGTCCTAGTTTTTACAGTCTTGTAATCCACAGATATAAAAACCAACTAATACTGCCGAAATGATATTTATGTATGTGCATATATATAACCTAGGCGATCTGTGCCAAGAATCATTTAACAAAGAGAAGATCATTATGACCTGTGAACATAGGTAACATTTATATTGAAGATCTATTTCTTCCTTATCTGATCAAGTGAAAGCGACGAGTGTTCGAGCAGTTGTATGTTTTAAAACGGTAATGGTGGGACGAAAGAGTGACGAAAT